AAACTACGAGTCCTTTCGTTTCCTCCTGTACAAGCTGTGCGGTGGTGTTTCTATGTCGGTGGCTAAAACAGGTCAAATGTGAAAGTTCAGGGAGATCATGAAGAGCCCAGACTGGAGTTTGCTCATCATGAGAGCAATTAGAGGAAGACTGTTCAAAGGTATCTTTGCAGTGGTATCTGGGTGCCTAATTATAGTAACCAGCTTTGAAAAATCTCACCCTGCACTTTACCAGTGTGTTTTAAAAACAGCGCTGCAACATGCAGGTTGCTTGGAAACACCGACGGGCTTTCACGTGGAAAGCTGCCGTCTCTCTCACGCTTTTTTCCCCAGGTGGAGGAAGGTTTCTAGTAGGAATTTCAGGGCTTCATGTCCCTCCCCCGCTTGGTGGGCTCCTGGGAGGTGATTTGGAAGACGGGGAGCCACCTCGTCACACCGTACCGCAAACTTTCAGGAGAGGACAGGTACCTGGTTTCGTCTTAACCACAGCAACGTTCTTTTTAACCTGTTTTGGTGGGGAGGGGAAACGGAGCTCAAGGAAAAGGAGGTGCCTTTTCCCTCTGAGTGAACGTGAGCAGCTCACACCTGCTGTGTGAACAATAGAAACGCGCACCGGTCCAAATGCAAATAAACAAAACTGTTTAACACCAGAGGAATTTCTGCAACCGGTGTTTGTTTTTCATCCTCATGAGCTAATTATCCTGGGGCTTTTTATCTCTTGCTTCGGCCTCCAGTAAATCTGTGAAATGAAACCGAAACTGGTTTCATTTCACAGAAACCCCTTCCCTACTTTCAGTAGAGATGTGTACCTGTGCTTTATTCTGTCCTCAGCCACAGTGAGCATTTCTGATAGCAAAGAAGCCAGAGCGCAGTAGGGCGAGGCCCGGGGAACAGGAGAAGTGCACCTTGCGGTGCCGCACTGGTGTTGGGCTGCGCTCCTACCCCAGAGCCCACGTCCGCCATCTTCAGCCTTACACACTCTCCTCCACGAGACCCCTAACAGGGACTACTCTGAGCTCATGATGGGCTCTCAAGCCCTCCATCAAGGCTGCACCTACCAAAAACCTGCTCGACAGCAAAAGGAGTTAGCCAGGTCTTGGGGCGAGAAAGAAGAGTCCTGGGAGGGAGTCGCACCTGGATGGTGAAGTTAGGCCTGCTTTGAGTTTGCAGTGAGATTAAACACTAGCAGCAGGCACGCTAGTTGTGTGTTGCTTTGTTTCGGGTAGCAGCTAATGCCTTTATTTAAATTGCAGCCACTTCTCTGAAACCTGAGTTGCAAAGAAGCAGCATTCAAGCAATCCTGCTCAGGCAAGAAAAACAACCGGGCAAAGCCGAGTCCGTAACAGGAGGTGACGTATTTAAACCAAGGGAAACAGCTGCGTGCTGCAGTTTTCCTCGGCGCTGCCATCAGTCGGCGCGTGCCCGTGTGTGCGTGCCCGGCCGCGCGTGCGCTGCTGTGCGTGCGCGGCTGTGTGTGCGCTCCTTCAGCTCAGCTTTTGCTCCCCCAAGGCGCGTGGAGGGAGAGCCCAGGGGAGCGAGCGCCGTGAGGAGAAAACTTGTGCGAGCCGAAGACAATAAACCTTCTGGTCAGCTCGAAGAAAGGGAGGCATGAAGCACATCTCTGGGCCAGCCTTCAGCCCGAGGTAACGCTGTGCAGCGGGGAATTACGCAATCGTTTCCTGACTCCCTGCTCCACACGTAGCTGCTGTTTTCCCTGCAGCTGCGTCAGCGAGACCTCCGCATTCAGCTGGCCAGGCTCCAGGATGGCAAGTCTCCCAAGACAAAATGCCATGTGCAGAAATGCATTAAAGCACCTATATGCTCTTGGGGGGAAAAGTTTGCGTTGGCTTTTTGAATTACATTGAGAGCAAAGGCTCTTTAAAAGGAGAAGGGAGGAGGAAGGGTTGTTTTTCTCGCATATATTATGTTTTAACTCAAATTATGTATACAAAAAAGCCTCCTTCCATGGCGTCGCTATGGCTACGGCCCGGATCCTTGTGCGCGAGCCTGCAGGCAGGAAAATGCCAAGCGGAGAGGGGGCGGCGAGCCCAGCGCTCCTTCTTCTTGCAGCCAGGTGTGGCCCTCCGCTGCGTCCTCCGGCCGCAAGTTTGTCCGAGGCCGCCTTTCCATCCCCACCCAACGGGAATGTGGAAACGCTGCAATTGCAAAGTCTTCTGCTGGCTGGCTCGGCGTGAGGAGAGCTTCCCAGGTCATGAGCTTGAGAGCGAGAGCAAGGAGGATCTTTGCACCTCACCTCCCCGGAGATGTTATCAGCACTGTCATAACACCTGCTCTCTAACCCCTCCCCAGAGGCAGGCACGCTGCAGCGAGGAAACGGGGTAATGCAAAAGGCTGACATACCTGCAGGCCCCACGCAAGCCCTGTGCTTGTGCCCCATGTGATGGGTTCCCACTGGTGTGATACCAGTGACCAGCCCAAAAGCTGCTGGTATTGCTTCGCCCCAGCCGTACGCTCGCACTGCAGCTTGGTGGTGTGATCATGATCCTGGAAATGAAGAAAGTCAAGCCGGGTGAGGTTTCTCCTGTGACTAAACCCATAGAAAATACTCAGTTGTACGTCTTGATTGTAGTTAGAGTCTCTTTGGTCCCCTGGCAACTTGAGAAAAAGTTACTGAGGGAATTGAAAATTGGTCTTTTGTTGAGCCGTGGCATTAGCACATCCCTCTGTTGGAGACTCTGTACCACAGCTGTGAGAATATTTCTGCTGGTTTTAAAAACCCTACCTCTTAGTAGGATCTCGGTGAAAGTCACATCTGAAAGGTTAGGCCTTGTCTTTACTTTCAGGTGTGAATGTTTACAATTATCACAGTTGGCTAGAAAAGGTCTTCCTATTTAGCACTGCCTTGCTTGTTTTCTGTGACTCCCTGAGAATCCATTTCAGCAGAATTCATTTAGAAAATACAAAGGTAAACCGCATTGGCAGGAGAAGATGAACGAGATACGTTAAAGACTTCTACATTGGTTGAAAATTTGACTAAGCTGCTTGCTTTCCTCATTATAATGCCTAATTAGTTAGCTTGTTCCATTCAGTCATGCAGCTTTGATAGCTTCATTGTGCTCCAGAAGACCGGGCCCTGAGATTTAAGCAGGTCTGTCCTAGATATCTAATGAACTGTTAATTTGAAAATAAAAACATTCTTAAGCTGCTCTACTAAGCGATCACCTTCTGGACTGATATACGGAGCCAAAAGGACCGGCTTAAAATAACTTCAAACGCGATTGCACGAGGCCCGAGATGCAGGAGTAGGTTACTGTAGCTCGCTGCGTTACCAGCGAAGTTACTGCAGCTTCACCGATGCGAGGGTGCAACACCCTGGGGCTCAGCGAGAGCTGCGGGAGACCATCTCGTCCTTCCCACGCCGCCTCCAGCTCTAGGTACCGGGCCAGCTCATCAGGTGGGCTTACTCTCATGATTGCACAGAATCGCACCGCTGCAAGCGCAGGGCGGTTTGTAGCCTAGCAGTTAAATCTCTGATGGGGCCAGAAGCAGGGATTTCTGTTCCCCTCGGGCAGGGGTGGGATTTGAGCCCGAGGCTCCCGCGCGCGGCACGAACGCTGTCACAGCTGAGGTGCCGCGCAGACACGGGGAGCGTCTGGAAGTGACTGTTTCTTATGCAGAACCTGATCTGCTAAGTCAGGGTGATTTACGTGACAGATTCGGGGCTGAGCCCAGCCTGTGTTTGTCCGGACAGCCACCTTGGGCATACGCTGCCTCCTGCTCTCTTCCAAGAGCTCCTGTGTTTCTTATTGGTTTTCTCATTCCTGAGGCAAGAGCTGACAGCCGTATCTCACACCTGGGCAGAGCTGGCACCCTGCTGCCCACGCCTTCGTTAAATACGAAAACAAAAGAGAAAACAAGGATAGTTTCACGCTAAGTGCCCTGCGCGACCTGCTGCTGCTGCTGCTAGGCAGAGGGACATCTTGTTCTTAAATTTAGGTTAATTAGGGTTACCCATGGCTGAAGCAGTCACTGCCTGCTACTCGCTGGGACGAGGAGACATCTTCCAGATGACACGTGATTTATGCAGCGATTAAAATCAGTTTAAAATCTTGTTTTATTTAAACCAGTGCACGTTACAAGGCAGGTAAGTAAGTCTCTTCCCTTCCTTCGAAGTGAAGGCAGCGCTGGCCAAAAGCAGCCTTTTATTGCGGGGGTACTACGGCGCAAGAGGAGAGCGCGTAAAACTTGCATGCATCCACTTTCACCACCAGCTTATGAGAAAGGCAGATGCGGTACCGCCAAGCTGGTAAGGCTGTTTCCAAGCTGATCGAACAGTTAATGAGCAGCGCTGTTTTCACATACTGCAGCACAAAGGTTTAAACACGCAGGACCAGAGTTTTTCGCTGCTTACCACAGCGCTTAACGTCAGGCAGCTCACCACTGCCGCCGAAGCACGCAAAAAAACCTCTGTATGGTAACTGAAATCACACACGCAAATCCAGATTCAAGGTCAACGTTTTAAGACTCGCACAGGGGAGTTTCTTTCTGGTTTGCAAGAACGCTTTCTCCTACTCCTGAGCAGTCAAGCCTGTTTTTGTGACCGAGGCTTTGAAACTCCAGCTAGATGCATCTTCCCCTCCAGGGCTATGCCCTCCTGAGGGAGGCGCTCCGCAGTGAACCGAAAGCCCCAAGGAGGCAACGCCACAAGCACCCACCTTTCCTGGAGCTGCTTCCCAGAGGGCCGAGAGCAGCAGCCTCATTGAAGGACTCCACATGAGCCGACCGCAGCTCACCTCGAGTCCCCGCTCGCGGGACAGCCTGCCCCGCACCACGCCAGGCCGGGGCACAGACCCATCGCAAACCCCTGCCCGCGCTCAGAGCCGGCCCCCGGGGCCCCGCGGGCACGCCAGCACGCCTCTTCTCTCTCCGGGACCGTGGTAAATCATGCTTTGCTCGTGCAAACGCCTGGGTGAATCGGAGTTAGCTTGCACATTATCTGACCGAAGACTGTATGTGACAATTGAAAGTCCAAACTACCGCCATGAAGTGAAAACACTATTTATTTTTATAAAAGGCAATAATTAAAACAAATCCTACCAGTGTGTACATTGTACACATTTGAATGACACTTACAAGAATGAAGTTTCCATATACAAAGATTACAAGCCCACACTGGTAAAGGATGCACACAAGCACATACACAACTTCACAGCTGCCTCTGCTCCAGATCACAGTACCGATTACTCTATGACCACACCTGCATAGCATTTTCATTATTAGCATCCACGCTACTTTATTCCACTACGAACTGTACACAGAAAGCAAGAAGGAGTTTATTCAGAGAGCATACATATTCGCACAAAGAATTTATTTGCTGGAATAATCTCTCACTCTTCTGTTGCCATCTTCAAGAGATATTCTTTGTCGATTTTGAAGAGCCTCCACCCCTCCTCGGTGGACAGGTCAGAGGCACCCCTTCTCTTGTAGAACCTGATGGACGGTTCGTTCCACTCCGCGACGAGGAAGTGCATACTGCTGCAGCGGCACTTCACAGCAACCTGCAAAGGTGCGCAGCAAGACACGGCTCGAACAACGGCCCCAGATGATACGCCTCGTAAGAACTGGTGGGACTACTCGGCAACTAGCTGTCTATCACCAGAAGCCATCCAGTTCCTTCTGTTGGTCACTTCAGCACTTACCACTGTCTAACAGACTCTAGACAATGTTTTAAGCCATCTAGTATCCTGTCACTTCCTTTAACTCAACTCTGAGTAGTGCTGAAGGAGCAGCTATCAGGCAGTTAGCAGAACAAGAATACTGCCTTGCCATGCGTCCCCAGTTCTGCTTGTTTAGACTATCGCTCGGACATACCTGACTCAAGTTCTTCAGAATTTCTGACCCAATGCCAAGTCCTAAAAAAAAACAACAAACAAAAAACAAACCAAACACAAGAAATTAAGTTTTAATTTTAAAGAAGCCCTATAGAAAGCAACTCGTCTAATTCTGCAATACACACCTCTATACTCAGCCATCACATAAAAATCTTCAAGATACAGCAGTTTCCCAATCCATGGATCGTAAGTGAAGTAATACATGGCAAAGCCCACAATGCAGTGTCCTGAAACAAAGGGTGTCACTTTAGCTAGTCTGAATTTAAAAGGCAAAGATATTAAGTCTTACATGCACGTTTAAACATACAGATTCTCTTTCTGTGACATGCAGACATTTGCTATTAGGTTAGAATTAAGAATGAAGTTTGCAAGTGAACAGCTGAAAATATGAGTTCTGACAAACTTGTATGAAGCTAACAGAATGAAGACTGCCCTTGCCATACCCTGAAGTCCTCAGAAGTACTACCACAGTAAGTGCTGAACACAAGGCTTTTTTTCCACAAATGCATACCCTACTGATTTATCAGTATTCCCATTCTGGAATGCGAGTAAAAACTTTATACAGCAGTTCACAATCTAGATGATTGCCCCAACTCTGCTTCCTTAGCAACCAAAACAGTCTACCGAACTCTAAAGAACACTGATCTTTCCGTGTATATTCCTCAGTAACTACACTGTGCGAGAAGGCACGCTCACAGGCCACCTTCACAGCAGCATTTCCAGCACCTCAACTTATGCTTCCACTGAGAGCATCACACTGCTTTCTTTACCTTCAGCACTACGAAGTCAAGGTAAGTAAAGCTGCAGCTTCCATTATAATTCTGTGGCTCAACGGGGAAGAGAAACCAACTCTTCCAACAGCAGCTCACTCAAACCTAAACCTCAAGTATTGTAACTGCGTCTGCCATAACACTCTGCACATACTCTAAGAGAAGCGTGCAAACAAATTTCTGATCTACTGCATCTTTGGTAAAGGTTTGGGAATAGCACTTGTCCCTGTAGACCTTACCTCATATTATGATCATCTACTTTATTGTGTAACGGATCTTTTAGTTACCTCCCCGCCCATCCATGTACACGGAAGGGCCATGTACATGGCGAAGCTAGAGACTGTAACCTGAAGATTGGGGACAAATTAAAGAAAAAAATGTGATTCAACAGGATTACATAAAGGTAAGTCAGGGTCAAACAAGAAAAGCCATTTAATTAACTGGAGTCAAGCACATTACGTTATACCTGATCTTCCCACACCTCCAGGATTAGCAGCTACTTCAGCAGAGTATCACTATGCGTTACTGCTTTAACAGTTAGCCTATTCCTCCTACCCCAATTCAGCGGGGGAACCTTATGTAGCATCGATAACATTAAGTATAAGAAGCTTCTTGCGTTTTTAGCGTCTAAACATAAGTATCAGGAAGCCTCACCTTCAGACGACCACTGTTCTTTTGGCACTTCTGCAACCAGACAGTGGTAGAAAGGGTGCTCGCCGAAACCATCCTCAAGCAGTTCTAGAAAAGCAGAATAAACCGGCACCTGAGCTACGGGCACTGCCGCTCGGCTACCGCCCGGCCCGGTGGGCAGAGGCCGCTTTTATACCTTTCTCCGTGAGCACCACCTGATCCTCCATGTCCTCGTACTTGGCCAGCTCCTGGAAGAGAGGGCCGTG